AGTCACTATATCTTATCAACTGTCAGCTAACCAGTGTTCAAAGAATTTGATTGTGTCTCTTTCTGTGCTTTTATATAGCTCTTTGGAAATTTTGACTGCTGCTGACGTTCATTCATACTCTTCCTTTCAAAAATCACTGATCAAAATTTATCTATTTATTTGAAGGAATAAAATAAAGATCTAAGGCATGTGGTAGAAACCCTGGCAGCAGAAGCAATGACCTTTATTCTGTAGTGGGCTGCTTTTGGGCTTCTTGCCCATGTACTCAACCTGAACCCTTGGGCTGTGCATCATCCCATTAGGCTGAGTTGCAGTTCCATTTACTTTGGTTGTCCTCCAGAGAAATAATATGATCTTGAAAATGTTCCTGAATCCTTCAGTGAGGAAACGGGAGTGTTCAGATCCCCTTGAAGTCAAAGGGAGGACACACAACCATTCTTGGATCAAGTCCATGCTAATGATGCTTCATCTACTATAGGGCCACACAGGATAGGGCTATTTAAAAAGCTGTAGACAGTGACTCCAATTTGCTTAGTGGCTCCCCTTACTCATCCTACAGATAGAAAGTGGCAGCTAGGTTTATAGCCCTTAGAGGCCCCTGTGCCTGCAGGGCATTTCCTGCTCTGCAAGGTGAATTTCAGTTGCTCTAAAATGAAAGCTGCACCCTACCCACAGGACAGCAGGGACTTTTAAGACTCCAGGATTGTAGGAAGAAATCTGGTCTCCAATCAAAATAAAGCAAGGCTTTCCCCAAAGTGCTTAACTAAAGGGTATCCATGCCACACTTATTTTTCATCCGTTTTTGACCTTTAATTTAATGCAAGTAAGTACTCAAAATAAGCAATTTTAGCTATGTTTTCTTCTCAACTTCTCTGACTTTGGGCCACACACACAAAGATCATTCTGTGACTTGACACCCCCTCTTTCTTAAAATCTTACGGTGAAGGAAAAAAAAAGATGTTATTTTAAACAACCTCAAATTAGAGTTTTTTTGTCCATTAGGGTACTTATTTATCCAACTGTTTCAATTCTTGACTTTTTTTATAATGAAAATTATAGCTTTTATGGATTCCTGTAAACTTCTAGGTATGAAACTGGCTCTTCTTCAAAAATGTGCTTCGAGATCACTAAAAATAATTCACTTGTATTTACATTTTCTTTGTGTGAAGCTTAAGATAATAATATGCCTACTTTCTGCTCATCCCTATCTTTATTGATCTTATTGATGCCCTTTCATATTCAATATATTCAAAGAGGTATTTACAGCTGTTAAAACAGAAGTTGAGTTACATTAACAATCTCATCACACAACAGATACATCACCATCAGCATCATGAGAAGGTCCCTCATCCAACCTCACTGATGTCCACTAACCTTCAGCAATACATACCACTTCTGGAGATAAGAAGATACAAGCAGTCTGTCCAGTAGACTGGCCTTTGAATGACAGGCTAAGTTTGCCAGTCAGTTTGCCCCAATTCAAGGGCAGGTTTGTGATGGGTCATTAGCTTCAGAGCGTTGATCCCACTAAGCTTATATTATGTTGTTATATTCAACTCATTGCTCCACTTAGCTCCAAACACTCTGAATTAGGGATTTCAGGTGGCTTTCTCTTATTACCAAAGTATCTTGCTTATTAAGAAACTTTCGGGTGACTCCTCCAGCAAATGATGCCTCCAATCACCAGATTCCTTTTCTTTGTAGCAATGTAAAAGAAGTAGAGTTCAGATCACTGAACACTAATGCTAGCTGCTTTTTCAGCTTTGGTGATCTCTGATTGCTGAGACAGGTATATAGACAGCACAGAACTCTGGGGCTCTACCTGTTAGCCACTTGAAAACTTAACTACTGCAATGATACTCCCAAAGCAAACTTTACTTTGGTTTGGCATGAGGTACAAGGCAATTCAAAAGTTGGCTCTCTCTGAAAGTGCCCCTTTCCTTGTTATTTCCTTCCAAGAATTTTATAAAAAAAAAGAGATGGTTTTCCACTTTTAAATTGCTATTCACTCACCAAACTGAATAGCTTTCATATATACTTCTTGTGAAGAAATGCTCCTGAAATACTAGTAAATTAAAAACAACTAAGATGGCGGCAGCCTCTCTGCAGAACTATATCATGGCAGAGGCAACATCCCAGAAAAATAGCTTTCATCTATCACTAATTCTGTCTCAAATCCTTCCGCAGAGGACATGCAAGGCTTCTACAGAAAATTACTGTACACTAAGGCTGAACATGACACAACATTAAATAGCTCTTCTGATAAAACCTTTATTACCTAAAAACTGTTTATTTGGCTCTGGAATTCACACTAGTGCCATGTTTTACTATAAAGTTAGAATTTCAGAGCATTTATGGAAAAGATCTGAATGCTGCTTTCTCCACAAAACACTTCACTGCATGGAATATATCATCCCCATCCCAAGGAAATGTTTTGAAACAACAGACCATGCAAGTCATTCAAGAAGATGAGTTATTTTCCACTGTATATGAACTAAATGTATGTTCATTATAATGGACAGTCTATACGCTTTCCCAACAGGAAGACATATTGACATTTCTGGACAGTAGCAGCAGCCTTTGAATTTTCACTTCAACTACTGCTTAAAAATGACACTGTCAGAAAGGAAACACCTACTGTGCACCTTCACTTGCCTTCTGATCCCTTATTAGTTAACCCTGAAGTGCATATGTATACAGCCTTAATCCCCAAGTGAGTATCTGGACCAGGGGAAATCTGGAATTAATTGTGAAGTATTTTGGTTACTAATGCAGCTGTTACAAGTGTTTGATTTGGCAAGGGAACAGAAAAGGCACTGCATACCAATTTCGTGAGCCACTGTAAAAGCTGCATGGAGGCCGTCATCTTCAATCACTGCACAGCTGCGCTCAGGAGAGCATATGGTCCCAACGTCTGCCATTCCCAGAGTATCACATGAATGATGCCCACATAAATCCTGCCCAGGAAAGGAAAAAAAAATCATTAAAATAAATATTTAATACCTGCAGGTAACAACAAGTTAGTCACCAGCCCTTTGCAAACTGCAGAACGGGGGAAAAAAAAAAAAACAAACCCAGCAATACTAGCTTCCATCTAAAGATCTCAGTGCAGTTTAAATGTATGATAACACAATCTCACCTCTGCTAGAGTCTGCAGGAGTCTTCTCATTTTCACTTTAATAGGATCTGGATAGAACTTGTAATTAATTATTATTTAGATTTGTATTTCTGCAGTGCACACACTGCACTGTGTATATTAAATATACATGCAGTAGAAACATTTCTTCATAGACAATAGAAGAGAGATTCTCTCTACTTACAGGAGAGGAAGCAAGGCACAGAGAGAAAGCTTCAGAGTCCTCTAACCAGAATATTACCTCTCTTTTGAAAGACTAATCTTACAATTGCTCCTAAAGAAGTGAGATTGTTACGTAGTAAAACTTCACGCCGCACCTGTAAAGCAGTGCAATGACTAATAGTGTATTGCCCAACCCAACAGGTACTTAAGCAATTTTCAAAGGTTGCTTCGGAGACAGAGATAAGGCAGAGCATGGGAAGGCCCTTGATTCCAAACATTACAACTGCAACAGACTACACACTCTCTATCAGTAGGCATGGAGCATCCCTGAAAACCACGCAGGTAACATCAGGGTTTTGATTTTTTTTTTTCCATTCCAGGACACAAGCAATAAAGAAAGAAAAAATAAAAAAGAGCAGCTCTGGTCAGACAGACTGTGTTTTAATAACCAGTTTCTCCCAAAGAAGACAGAAGAATAGTAGTTACAACTGACAGTACACACACATATATTTTTTTTTTGGTTGAGAGAGAAAAGAAGATATCATGCCTACCTAGAACATGCCTAAACATTTCACTGTAGTTGAATGAAAATGTCATTTCCAAGACAGACCAGTATTATCAAATGTCCTTATCAAAACGATCTCTCTGAGGATTGCCTTTTCCCCCTCAAAGATAACTTCAACGCATTGTTAAGGCTCCCTTCTCTTCAGATCTCCTATTAGGATTTCTTTCATGACAACTAATCCATCTCAATAACAGATAGCCTGAGTGAGTCTCCTGGTAAAAAATGTTCACTGACGCACTCATGGCAATTTTAAATTAAGACAAACCTGAAAATGTATGGATTCAAATTCCACTGAAGTTGAAAATAAACACACTGAGTTCACAGATGCAGAACATCTCTTTACACAACAGATAAAATTCTAAATGGATATTTTTTTAAGATGAAGCAAAAGGACATTTCGAGCCAAAATAAAGAAATAATATAGCAGTACTACATAAAAAGAACAAGAATTTCAGGATCAGTGCTTCTGCCTTCCAGGTGTAGAGGTGTCTGGGAACTTTGTTCTGTAAGTTTAGTTAATGCCAAGATTTAAATCCTGGAATACCAGTGGACAAAAGATGAGACTAAAAAATATTTCAATTCCCATGTTTTACAGGTATAATTCTTGGGTTAAACAAACAAAATATAAAAACAACAACAACAACAAAAACAAACAAAAAAGCTTCCACCCTGGAAATACACATAATATGAAGGGAATTTTATTGCAGAGCCCTCTCCAACCCTTTTAGTTCCCATTCTTGATATCCTAATAGGATATCAAGACTTTGCTCCAGGATTTGTCACTGTCTCTCTTTGGGTTATCAAAAGGTACATGGTATGGAAGCTCCTTTTCATTTTTTTTTAAGGGACATAATTTATTTCAAGTTTTGTATAGGAAAATATAATTATTATCATTTCTAACATCTCTGGACCAATGTTGGAATAGGCACTAAGCAAGGTTATGGTACTATAGTGTCTATTCATCTGGGCATACTCTACAAGGAGGAGGCAATACATAAATTCCTGTTACATTTGCTTAGGTTCATATCCAAATAGCCCTTAAAGCATCACTTCTGAATCAGGCCATTTGAAACTAAGAGTACATTTTACGTAAAGTAATTTTAAGTAGTTTACCTATAGCAGAATAGTCAAGTAATAACACAAAAAAACCCACAGGATCATAATACCAATATAAATATTTCTTATGGTGGTACAATTCATCTTCTAAAGAAGTAAACTACATGGGAAGTTGACCAGTGTAACTTTAACTGGATCCTCACTAGCTGTTAAACTGCAATTCTTACAGTAGTACCAAAAAGCACATAAATCAGAAAGAAAGCAGGTTATTGGGGTAGGTCCAAATTGCTGTCATGCAGATAGAGGCAAGCATGATATAAAATACATTAATTCGGGCCTTTTCTCTGCATGCAGATTCTGAGCCATTTGGGCTACTTTCATATCTCAGGTGTCATTTTTACTTACACATTCGCATCAGTACTACTCCCAGGATGGGCACAATTATCTCAAAACATGCTAGTCTTAGACCAGCGCATGGCTTAATTCCATCTACATAGAAGAACCCATGGCAGTATCAGAACCAGCATTTACACAAACACAGCTGGGTCTCATTACAATTGCCTTGATTTGATGACACGAGAATAATAAAAATTGTATCATCTTTCTAAGCAAGCAACTGCATAAACTTCTGTTAGAGTCAATTCTGCTTGCAATTGTGAGTCTGCAAATTTTGACAGGGATGGTAATAGTAATCAGCCGTTCATGGATCTTGGCTTGTTATTAATGCTCCTCTCAAAATTCTAAAAGCTATGCACAGAGACAGGATTACACCACTTGCATCAGACATGAAAAGACAGCTATTCATACAAGTCTGTATAGCTGTCTGTATAATGTCTATAGCCAAGAAATAAAGGATATAGGAATGTTTTGTTACTTTTCATTTTATATGTTACAGATACTACATCACCCTACATGCCCTGTTTTATTCAGAATTTCAGTTACTTCATCAAATCATTTCGTTGTTATCATAATTTCCTGAAATATGACATATCTCTAAACAGTTCAGTATCTTACTATAAGCTTTCCAGGTAGCAACTCTTACTTGCCTAACAGTTGATTTGAGATAGAACAAAGATTTACTCCGTTTTTTTAAGCCGTTCTTTAGGCATAACTGAACTTCAGGTCAGATTAAATGAATTTCTGAAGGGGAAATATTACTTACTGGTCTCTACAACAAAATCCCAAAGCTGGAGTGTTTTTGAAAACTGCTTATCTGCAAAGTTCCCCAGTTCCTCCGACACCCCTGGGCAGGTAGACTATAGTTGTACTCGGATGGCGAGAAGAAGGTGGGACTCATGCAAGGGGCAGGAGAGGAAAAAATCACATGCTCACCAAGAGCAGTGGGCAGTGCCTTTCCTTCAGGCTGGCTCTACTCCTCCAGCGATGGAGAGGGCAAATGGTAACAGGCAACAGGCTGGCTAAGTTTTGAAAAGAGAGTGTGCACAGAGCCGCCTGGTTTTCTCTGCAGACTTCAGTGTTCTGTGATGGCACGAGGATGCATCTTTTAAGTGAACGTTGGCATTATCAATACTCACTTAGGCAGATCGTTACAGACTCTGCTCCATTACGTTCTCAGCTCATAGTCTCATTTACTCTCTTTTTTCTCTCATCCCTCTACATAATTTTAGCTCAATATATTTCTATTTATAGGATCACTTTTTATTTATAGGATCATTATAGGATAATTTAAGCATATCAAGTGACATCTCTGAGACAAATATTGGAAATGTTGCTTCCAGGCATTTTCCTTCTTAACTGACTATTCCCTGGTTATATGGTCTTTCCCAGCAGTGTGATTTTGAACAATGCTACCAAAAACCAAATCTGTTTTCACTTTCACTGGCTAAAATCTTTGGGCTAAAATTCCAGTATAAGTTTTGACTTATACTTCCTGCAGCCTTACGGGCCATAGGCAGTTTGCTATCAGCATCAATAACTTGAGTAGTCTTGGAAAGCAATCTCAGACTCCTGTGAAGCAAAGTTTCTGGGAGTACATTAAAAGTTTTTATTGTCCTTGAAAATCACTTCTTGCTTAATAACAGGTCCTGGTGTAGTGTTGCCATCTAATAAATCCATGTGGATCTCTTCTATTTTTTAAAACTCCAGCAGATGCACTAAGAAAGCAGGGGCTCACACGACAGTTAAAATTGGTTTCCAACAAATATTTCACCATGGGGTATAGCTTCCATTTAAAGAGTTAATCATTTTTTCAGATCTCATTTAATTGTCTCCAAATAGCAGTAGAAGCATCTAAGAATAAGCGTTTCTCAATATTTCCAAAGTAGGAATGCAGAGTCTGGCCTTTGATCTAGATTACAGTAGTTTCAAAATAGAAGAATGAAAAGGAAATGTGTTTGCTACACAGGAGACAATAGATGCCTTAAGCTTTGGCAAAGGAGTGACTTAGGGAAAACGAGCCGTACATCATAAGACTGGTAGTTAATTAGACAGCTTATTCAAGTCCAAGTTTTCTTGGCATTCTTAAGTACATCAAGAACAGCTGGCCACTTGCCATATATACGTGGCACTGTAGCAAATGAAGATAACTGTCGTGGTTCCCTACTGAAGCGGTTAATTTATTTTACCTGAAATTCTTTGAATTTGTGCAGTCGGCTTAGAAACAAGAATAAACTGCTCAGTGAAACCTGATATTAGACCGGAGCCTGTGCCCTGCATTCAAAACAGGATTTGAGCACCAGCAGGGACAGTTAGGGTGGAATGGAAGCAGTAAGCAATTGGCTCACATGTGCTCTAATCTTTGAGTTACGTATCATTCACAGGGCTTGAAGTGTGTGACCTTATGGGGACCAAAGGGCCACTGCTTTACAGTGCTGAGCACTTATCTTATACTAAAGCCTCATGAGGGTCCCAATATATGAGACTTCCTCAGCCTCTGGGCCACAAGGGATGGCAAGCCAAAGGGTATTCTCAGATCACATCTAAAAGAAACTTAGGAGAGCGGACATGGTTGTACACGGCCTCCTCTCAAAGCACAGCTAACACCTGTTACATCTCCGTGTGCTTGTTTGCTTCTGGTT